TGTTGAGTGAGTGAGTGAGTGTGTGTGGTGTGAGTGAGTGTGAGTGAGTGTGTGTTGAGTGAGTGAGTGTGTGTTGAGTGAGTGAGTGTGTGTTGTGTGTGTGAGTGAGTGAGTGTGTGTGGTGTGAGTGAGTGTGTGTGGTGTGAGTGTGTGTGTGTGTGAGAGAGAGAGAGGAGGTCTGAGCAGCTCGTCAGCTCTTTATTTTCTGAGTGTTTTATGCTTGCGATGCTGAAATCTCTGATCTGTAGCGTTGTGTTGTGATACACGCTTCACTGACAGCTTTTGCTTTAAGACTTCTGATTTACTCTGATCTCAGCGCTGTTCACTGTCAGTCACCAGAGTCACAACTACATCATCTGCTGATCAAATGTGACCCTGGAGCACAAAACCAGTCATAAAGGTCAATTTTAAAAAAAATTGAGATTTATACATCATCTGAAAGCTGAATAAATAATCTTTCCATTGATGTATGGTTTGTTAGGATAGGACAATATTTGGCTGAGATACAACTATTTGAAAATCTGGAATCTGAGGGTGCAAAAAAAGCTAAATATTGAGAAAATCATCTTTAAAGTTGTTCAAATGAAGTTCTTAGCAATGCATATTACTAATCAAAAATTAAGCTTTGATATATTTACAGTAGGAAATTTACAAAATATCTTCATGGAACATGATCTTTACTTAATATCCTAATGATTTTTGGCATAAAAGAAAAATCTAAATAAATCAGTATATATAAAATTATTTAATTTACAAGTGTCATGTTTGTGATTTTTTTTGTTCATGTAAGCTATAGCTTCTGACCTTTAAATCAAAACATACTCATTATTTTATGAAATCAATTACTACTTTATTTATTTAATCAGAAACACAGTCTAAATGTTATTTGTGTAGGCTATTTTACTTTTAATTTTATTAGAAGTAGGCTAACAGCGCCCCCTACAGATTAAACTTCTTACCGAAGGGCGTTAGGACCCGGGGGAGGCTGTCACTGCTGCCGCTGCACTGTTTACTCTATCACACACGAACGTGTCATTCTGTACTGCTTTCTCAGTGTAAATGCAGCGATCCAAAACAGTGAATGTAATCATCATTCAGGCAAAACTTTGCTTCAAGAATGAGCCACACTGCTGACATGATCTAATCGCAAGCAGACCCTGAGCACATGTGAGTTAACTTATTCCCCTTATCGGCAAGACATATCGGCATAGTTTTTCATATCGGGCCAATGCCGATATTTACATTTAAAGCCATTATCGGCCGATTCTGATATCAGTCCGATAATATCGTGCATCCCTAATCCAAATGATTTTTGGCATAAAAGAAAAGTCGATAATTTTGACCCATACAATGTATTGTTGGCTATTGCTACAAATATACCAAATATACTTAAGACTGCTTTTGTGCTGCAGGCTCACATATGTCTTCACTGATGGCCTTTCAGAAGTATCTCTGACAGTAATGTCATGAAGTTTTGTGCTGCTGGTGTTGTAGTGAATATCTGTGTGTAAATCTGCTGCTGCCACACACTCTCACACACACACACACTCACACACACACACACACACACACAGTCTCTCTCTCTCTCACACACACACTCACGCACACACTCGCACTCTCTCTCTCACACACACGCACTCGCACGCACACACTCACGCACGCACGCACTCACACATGCGCGCACACTCACACACACACACGCGCACACGCTCTCTCACTCACACGCACACACACACACACACACACACACACACACTCACTCACACTC